CGAGCCCCTGACGCCGCCGTCCGCTCCCGCAGCCCGCTCCCCTCCGCCCGGTGCGTGCAGTGTCGGCCCCGGCTGCGGCGGCGGGAGATTCAAACCCGGCGGCCGCGCTCACGCCCCGCAGGCTCCGGCCTACCCGCCGGGAGCCCTCTGTTCCTTCTTCCCCGGATTCCTCTGTACTTAATAAAGTGAATGACAACCCCAGGCCGGTCCGCACAGCAGAGCAAGGAACCGAGTCGAGACCCCTGGGGCATGGGTACGTGGGAGGGATTCTCGGCGCGGGGCCCTCCCGCCTCCTCCGAGCCCCCTGCACATGCCGGGCCCTCGGGGCCACCCCTGCAGGCTATAGGCTTCTGAGCCTCGGTCATTCCTGAGTCCTCGCGCGCTTCTCATACCAGAGCCGGCGCGCGGGAAATGCTCTCGTGCTGTTTAACTCTTATGTAAAGGTTTAGAGAGGATTAAGTTAACTGTTAATAACTGACCTCAAATGCACATACACGTAGCCATAATTTGTTGTCATAAATGAGTCTTCGAGAGTAAAAGGTAAAATTTGAGCCTAAAAACCTCAGGAAAAAATTGGAAATAAGGCAAAAGTAAAACTATATTACTGGTGGAAGATAATTTAAATTGAAAGCGCTTTCTTTTTAAAGGTGACTCAAAAAATATCAGCTTTCCTAAAACTTTATGAAATATGAATTAATTAAAACTGTGACATATAGGCTAGCAAGGAAAAAAGCTTACACATGAGGTGATAACTAAAGTCTGTATGATCATAGAAGGCATAAAGATGGGGTGAGATTCTAGAATATTATAACAAAGTACTTAGCTTGAAAACCTGAAAAAAGTAGTTTTAGAAAAGGAAAAAGGGGAGGCTAATTTATACTAGAGTTAATTGTGGTATGGCTTTTTTTTTTTTTTTTTTTTTTTAAGGAAAGAAACCACAGCTTTCCTCAGATTCTCAAAGTCCAGATCCTTGAAAGGGCCAGAATTAGCATTTGGCAAATATGATGATTGCTGTACTTCCTCAGATCTTTCCTGACTCACTCATGCTAAGTTTGACGTCCCTACTAAGGGCATGCCTCTACTCTGAACAACTGTATTGTATTGTAATCATTTACCTGCTTGTCTTCCCCATCAGATGCTGAGCTCCTCCAAAGTGAAAACCTTATGCATTTCTGTAGCCTTATCTCTTAGCACAGTGCCTAATACACACTAGGTTCTGAATGAATGTTCAATCAATAAATGAACAGAAACAAAGATAACTAATTGACAACTGAAGGATACAGTATAAAGTATCTAAAAAGAACTGAACACCTTTCTCCCCAAAGAATAAATGATTCTAATATGGTAAGCAAAATGACTTTCAAAATGTTACCGTGCACCACAGTAAGTTTCTTGGGATGTTTTAGAAAATGCTTGTTCCAACAGGATGAAGTTTAACTCAAGAGGATATTAAACTAATAGCTTCTTCAGCTCAATCTGAAGCAGAGAAAGGCCTTCCAGGGACACACCAGTAAATCAGAGTAGTGACTCTGGGCCAGGCCTGTTGGTTTTGTTCACTTAATTGGGGAAAATTACCGAAAGACACACAATGTCTCCACCATAAAATGTAGCATTTACACGTAATCACTTTTTCTTCACAGGGCACTTAGAAAAGCGTGCAAGGGGGGGCACAGTATCCGAATGGTTTCGGCACACGAGAGCTCCTGACACTCCTCCTGGGCAGGAATCAGGTCTGCTTACTCATGGTATTCCATGTTTGTGGAATAAAGTGATTATCTTCCTTTAGCTGTTGGATTAATAAGGAAATACTTAAATGGCTTGTCCTAGTCCCTTAACAAATGAGGCAGCCGCAGTAGTTAAAATTACTTGTTTCATAAAAAACCTTGTTTAGAAAACGAAAGGATTTAACACCATTAAAATACTTTTATATGGGAGGATTTAATTTCATTTAGAAGTACAAACACTTACAGAACTGTTAAATGTTTTCTATCAACATATTAAGATTTTTCCTAGTATACAGTGTTTTCCTCCATTGCAGGCTTCTACAAGCTAACTAGAAGAGAAGACCATTAGATGACTTGGAATGTGGGGCTCCACAAATCTGGGTTCCCAACCTCGAGTCCTAATTTCCTTTGAGAGCAGTGATCTTTACTTTTGTTTTTGCACTATCAAGCGAACCTCTGGTTAATCTCCCAAATAAAACCTCAATTGATATTAGAAAACATGTTAAAAATTCTACCCTTTTGTATTGTTTTACTAAGGATTAGGGATCTGTTGAACCTGATGTCACAGAAATAGCTCCATTTCATCAAGGTGTTCCACTTTCTCTGTAGTCTGTTCGATCTTATCAAGGAAGTCGGACACAACAGGTCAGTGGCAGTCAGTGAAGGTATGGAGAGCTGTCTTCCCAGACGCCCACACTAGTAATTACTTACACATGGCAAGCTAAACATGCTCTCCCATACTGCATTTCTGTTTATTCAAGTAAGGCTAGAATTAGAGACAGTATTATTAAAATGATTTTTTTAAAATGTGAAATGTTATGGACATATAAAAAAAGTATTTCCTCCCCCCTGAAACAGCCACTAAACTTAATTTGGTATTAATAAGTCCCAGGTGTGTTATTTATACTTTTACTAAATACACATAGAATTGTTTGACATGTTTCTAAACTTCATATCAGGTTGTACTTAACCAGATCATTTCTCTGTGGTCTTTATTATCAGAGGCATGTCTCCTGTCTCCATCACTGATTGGCTGTATACCTTCACACTAGCTATTTAACTTGTCTGGGTTGTGGTTTCTTTCAATAACATGATAATTCAAATAATATGAACAACAGGACAATTTCTAAAGTTTCTATTTGCTCATATACAATTCCTATATGCAAATACAGAAATGGATCTTTAAAGTGTATATATATATACTTTTTATAATTTTATTTATTTATTTTTTTCCCCCAAAGCCCCAGCAGATAGTTGTATGTCATAGCTGCACATCCCTCTAGTTGCTGTATGTGGGACACGGCCTCAGCATGGCCGGAGAAGCGGTGCGTTGGTGCCCGGGATCCGAACCCGGGCCGCCAGCAGCGGAGCGCGCACACTTAACCGCTAAGCCACGGGGCCGGCCCCTAAAGTATATTTTTATATATTACTATACTAATACATTTAGTAGTATACTAAAATTGAAATTAATTTTAAAGGCAAAAACATGCAAAGCTGAACGTAACATTATGGTGATTTGGTACCAGTAAATGCCTCTTAAATTGATATGTAACCTTTCTTTCATGCAGGTGAAGACATTTTCACACTTATTCTTTACATTTATAAAAACATCATTCTTGTGCATGACTGAAGAACTGGGAGAATATCTACTAGTTAAGAGCTTCAGCTCTAGACTCAGGTAAAGCCAAACTCAAATCTTGCCCTGCCATTCACAGGCTACATGAAATCTGGTCAAATAACTTGACCTCTCTAACATATATATTCCTCTTCGTTAAAACACAGATCATTTCAATACCAATGTCAGAGGACTGTTATGTGGGATAGTTCTTTGCCATTTTTACAAACACAGCAAGAAAATAATTTACTTCCTCACCCTGCGAATCAGTGAACAAAGACAGCCAATCTATTAAATAAACAAATCAAAAATACTTTTCTACTGTTAAGATGTATTTTGCTTATATATCAAAGTAATAATTAACATTATTAATATGTTTGATACTAGAAGTCACAGTCAAAAAATGCCAGTATTCAAGTGACTAAAAGTTCTGTTTTTATACCTGGCAGTTTCTGATTAGCAAAGTTTGGATATTACTTGCCTAATGAAACCTGATTCCAATTAGTGGTTTTTTAAATAAAAAAGATATTGACTATCCCTTGTATATGCAGTCTTAAAATATCATTTGTTTCCTTTAAGAATAGGAGCTATGATAAAGATTAATATTTCTCCTTATATTTGCTTTATATAAGCAGCAAAGTTTTCAAAACTAGAATACATCAAAAGAATTTTTGTGTACAGATTTCAATATTATCAGAAATTCCCAGATAGTGTTTGCTTTGTTTTTGCAGGGTTGTTTGTTCAATTATGTGTATTTTACATCAATTTAAACTTTCATTTGTTCTCTCTCCTCTCATAATGCTAGGAAGCATTCCAATATATTATTATGCATTGTTGACAGTAGTTCCAAAATGGTCATTCTAAATTCAAAGGCAAAGAATGTGACAAAACAAATACTGGTCATCTACTCGTGGAAGTGCTATTGTAATGTTTTTCTACATTCTATGTAGAATAAAAATCTTAAGTAACAAGTTTCTTCCCTAATAATCTGTAGGTAATCATCACAGCCAGGTTTTGCTTTCAGTTTCCAATATAAAAAGATCCTATCTTAGTTAAGACCTGGAAGGCAGCTTTATTTGAAAGAGGAAAATAAAATTCAACTTCTTAGTATATGAAGAAATACTATGGTCACTTCCTTCCTCATGGTATTTGGAGCTATCATTTCTTTTTTTGTGAGCAAGATCGGCCCTGAGCTAACATCTGCCAATCCTCCTCTTTTTGTTTTTGTTTTTGTTTTTTTTTTTTTTTTTTGCTGG